CCCCGCCCCGCCGCTTCCATTCATTGGATTTCATTTCTTGCAGTCATGGAGGCTCAGCATCACATGTGGGTGCCATCTAGGGTAGTCTGCATGCAAATGAAGCCTGCCTAGGAACACCCACTCCAGACTGACATCCACCCATCAAGGCATTTTGATATTTGCATAACTCCTCCCAAGAGCCAGCCCACTGCTTGCATCAGAGCTGAGGGCTCTTGAGGGGAATACTGAGGCTGGGTGCTATGATGTTTTCAGGAAGCTATGTACAGCACCCTGCTGGTCCCTCCCACCAGCCATGGTCTGGCTGCATTGTACAGAAAAGTACAGACACCTAGTAATTACATCACTGGGTCTAAATTAAGGTATGCAATGAAAACGGAAGGTTTATTTAAAGAAATATCCTTTAATTTCCTGTCCTGGAGACACAGCAGGAAAGAAAAGGAGAGCTCTCCAGAGTTAGGGAAATCTTCTTGTAGTCATATGGCAACATATGTCGAATGTCCCCAAGTTTTTTCCCTGTTCCAGTGACATTCTCCCTTTAACAATGGCCACCGGAATGAAGGGGGGAACAGAGGGCTAAATCAACCCAGCAAGAACACAAACCACTGTATGACCTCCCTACTCTAAAACAATGGCTTTACATACACTTTAAAGCCCAACTTTTAGTTTAAACGGCTTAATACAGCAGATTCAACTTCAGCTTTATTATTGAAAGCAGCTCTGACAATCATTTACGTTTGGTCCTTGTATGTATGTATCATCCACAGAAGAACAACGTTTCTATATATTACTCGACTGCTTTGTTTTTCCACAGGTCAGAACGCCATTGTGATCGTCGCTGGGGCCAACCTACTGCTGGATTCCGGAGATTTGGCAAAGGCCTCTGGTGCCATTGGAGGTGCCAAGGTGGTGGTGTGCCAGTTGGAGATAAGTCCACAAATGTCCTTGGAAGCTTTAAAAATGGCGCACAATAGTGGAGGTAAGACATCCAACTTCTCTGTTAGGCCTCGTATACATGCATTCAAAAGGCAAGCACCCAAACTACAGGCCAGAAACTGTATACTATAAGGCCAAAGATTTTTGAACACCTGACCATCCAACTTACATGAGCTTATTAGATATCCCATTCAAAGAACATGGTCCATTCAGCCAAAAGAGCATTTGTGAGGTCAGGTACTGATGTTGGATGAGAAGACCTGGCTCACCATGGGCAATCCAATTCATCCCAAAGGTGTTCAGAAGGGTTGAAGTCAGGGATCTGTGCAGGACAATGAAAAAAATGCTGCAGTTTGTGAGTGTTATTTGGAGAAAGACTTCCCTTTTTCCACCCCATTAAAGTACATGGTTTGAGGACACCTGACCATCACACCTATAGGAGCATGAATGTGGTGTCCCCCATATCCAACCTCGCCAATATCCCAAGTGCCTCATTGCAGTTATAACAGCCTCCACTCTTCTGGGAAAGCCTTCCAGAAGAAATGTGTCTGGGGGAATATGTGCCCATTTGGCCAAAAGAGCATTTGTGAGGTCAGGTACTGATGTTGGCTGAGAAGACTTGGCTCCCAATCAGCATTCCAGTTCATCCCAAAGGTGTTCAGTAGGGTTGAGTGCAGGAAACCTAAGTTCTTCCACACCAAACTGGCCAAACCATGTCTTTATGGAACTGGCTTTCTACATAGGGGCACAGTCATGCTGGTACAGGAAAGGAACTTCCCCAAACCACAAGGTTGAAAGAGCACAGTTGTCTAAAATGTCTTTGTATACTGTAGCATTGGATGAGAAGACCTGGCTCCCAATCGGCATTTCAATTCATCCCAAAGATGTTCAGTAAGGTTGAGGTCCAGGCTTTGTACTGGACACTCAAGTTCCTCATCAAACTGGCCAAACCATGTCTTTATGGAGCTGGCTTTGTGCTCAGGGGAATAGTCATGATGGAACAGGAAAGGAACCTCCCCAAACCACAAGGTTGGAAGAGCACAAATGTTTTTGTATGCTGTAGCATTAACAGTACCCTTCACTGGAATCAGCTGAGTTGTGTCAATCTCAGGACTGGATGGACAAGTAGCAATGACATCATCACTGTTGTACATAAGCTGTGCAGACAGCAGAGTGTGGGAGGGACTGAGCAGGCCCCCACCCACTACATACTATCTGCAGAAAACTACAGGAGGGGCGGATACGAGACCGGTCACCCTGCACAAGGAGAGAGAGCAGCAGTGAGCGGTCTTTATTACAGGAGGGGGCGGAGACAAGACCAGTCACCTTGCAAAAGGAGAGAGCAGGGGTGACCGGTCTTTATTACAGAAGGGGGCGGAGACAAGGCCGGTCATCCTGCACAAGGAGAGAGAGCAGCAGTCAGCGGTCTTTATTACAGGAGGGGGCGGAGACAAGTCCAGTCACCCTGCACAAGGAGAGAGCAGCAGTGAGCGGTCTTTATTACAGGAGGGGGCGGAAACAAGACCAGTCACCCTGCAAAAGGAGAGAGCAGCAGTGACAAGTCTTTATTACAGGAGGGGGCGGAGACAAGACCAGTCACCCTGCAAAAGGAGAGAGCAGCAGTGACAAGTCTTTATTACAGGAGGGGGCGGAGACAAGGCCGGTCATCCTGCACAAGGAGAGAGAGCAGCAGTGACCGGTCTTTATTACAGGAAGCTCCAAGTCTCACACTGGATTACTGCACAGATCTGGAGGAAATACACAAAGCTCACCAAGATTCCAGGAAGAATACACATGACTGTTGTATGAGGATAATAATTGCTTTTCCCAGAGTTCACCTTTAACAATCTACCATTTCACAAAATGACATTTCTCCAGTGGCCCTTTTGGGGCCCTATTTGTGTTTTCATTGTGGGAGTTCTAAGTCCCAGTAATTGAGTCAGGTACCGGCACCAGCTGGGGGCGGAGGGCCTGTGTTAATGACCCCACTGTAGACCCGCAGATCCCCCCATAAAGAGAGCCATGAAACACACCAGGCGTTTGATCTGCTGCCTGCCTTCGGAGCGTGCCAGGAGAGCGCATTCCAAATTTATTATAAAAAAAAACAAGAGGTTGTTTAGAGGAAAACAAGTCCACTTCACAGGGGCTGATTATCCCCAGCTGTCAGGCCCCCATTCTGCAGAGTCGTTATAAGGAGCCACAGGCCACAGAGCTGCTATGGTTGGTTCAGATAAGAAGCTTTTCATTACTGCTGCTGTTTTCAGGCCAAAAACTCACATATTTCGCTGTAAAGAGAAGTAAACTCATATTTGGCTCAAGACTGCCCCCGTCCGCTCTGTAAGATACAGCTCTCCGACAGGCACAACTAGGCACTCTAATATATACGGACATGGGTAAAGCAGAATTTCTATTAACCCTTGCAGTGGGGCTACCCCCCACACTGCAAGGGTTAAGTGCTTGTTTTTGTCTAGGTGCTAAAAAAAAGTTATACTCACCAGATCCTTGGAGCCGGCTTGCTCTTAGACCGATCCCTGGATAATCTCTCCGCCCCCGCCGCAGCGGTCTAAGGATCTTTGAGTCATCACATTCTATAGACAATGTATGGGTCGTGAGGACGACGAGGGACAGGACCGCACCTATGATGAGGCAGTCTGAGGCTGTTGCCTCAGGCGGCATTTCTGTGGGTCCCCTTTCCGGCCAGTGTGTCCCAGGTTGCCATGCACATCTCCCCGCCCAGCTCTTTGCAACTCTGGCCAGCGTCCCACTGGCAACCAGTGATGTCAGTGAGCTGAGCAGTAAGTTAAACTATTTCACTGGCACACACTTGGAAAGTCAAATATCAATATTACATTGATCTATTTATTCAGTGAAGGATGTCACATAATGTCATATAGTGCTAATGTTTTGGATCTTCGCAAGGATCCTTCATCAGAGCGACACAGTGATGAAATCCTTGAACTTACTACTAGTGTTTGCATGGCGCCATCCGTGCGGTCACCAAGAGCACCACAGATGCCCCTTTTTTTTTTGAACTGTAAGACTGTAGGAGTGAATGGCACTTGGAACCTACAGTGAGCTGAGCAGGATGCTGGCCAAAGCTAGATGATACAGAGTCCACCATGTTAGCATGGACCACCAGCATCACCCACTGCCCCACCACCTGACTCAAGTGGTGAAAGGCCAAGGGACACCCCTGCCGAGGGATATTCCATTGCTAGTGCGGAGGGTGAGACAGGCTTCAGGGATTGGAATAGCAGCCAGTCAGCCCTTCAGATCGGGTGAATATAACTTTTTTTTTAAGCACCTAGGCAAGAGGCTGTGATAATGTTCATATGTGATGCTGAGCCATGACTGAATACCTGAAATCCACTGAATGAAAGGGATGAGCCAGGGACAGTCAGGATACGAAGGAAAGAGCTAAGTGACTCTGGATGTCCTCCAGCCTGGAAGTGAGGCGGGCTCTATCTGACTTGCTGCAGCTTCAAATGCACACTGTGAGAAGCTCACCGAGTGGCCGTGAAGGTCCTTGTTCAGGCACTTCCTGTTATAGGTTGACAACTGTATTCAATTTGTGATCTTGTGTTGTCATCTTGTCTCACGGTCCCCAGGTGGAGACTTTAAACAGCCCTGCTGACACACATAATGCAGGTACACTGAAGGATTAGAGGTACATGTTATAGTGCTCTTATTGTGCCCATAACCCCCCAAAAAAACTGGTTAGTTATTTAGTTGAAATGGAACGTCATCCAAAACTTTATTCATTTTGGATAGAGTGGAGAACTCGCTCACTTCCTGTCACGGAGGGAGAACAGTGACAACTTTCACAGGAAAGGGGGATGAGTGGATCGGTTCTGTTTTCCTTCTTTACTTCTTCATTTTCTTCTATTACTTCTAGTGAAGACTATCTTCAACCCGGCACCGGCCATATCGGACCTGGAAGATGAATTCTTCACCCATTCGGACATCTTCTGCTGTAATGAGAGTGAGGTGAGATCGTTGCTCCTTCTTCTACAATAACTTTATTTGCCAGTAAATAAAATAAGCTTGTTGCTTCGACCTGCGTCCGGGATCCACCACACACATGGCTGGTCCTATACAAGGGGGCTTCAGTGTGACCTGAGCCATGGGTTGGTGTATTTACAGAGGGCTGAGGGGATTCATATTATTGGGCTATAAAAGTTATTTTCCTTAGCTTTAAAGGATAACTTATATCTGATCTCCAGAATATTGTCCAAATACAAGAGTCATGTGTGTTCTTCCTGGAATCTTGGTGAGCTTTGTGTATTTCTTCCAGATCTGTGCAGTAATCCAGTGTGAGACTTGGAACTTCCTGTAATAAAGACTGGTCACTGCTACTCTCTCTCTTCTTGTGCAGGGTGACTGGTCTGGTCTCCACCTCCTCTCTTAATAAAGACTGGTTCCTGCTGCTCTCTCTACTTGTGCAGGGTGGCTGGTCTTGTCTCCGCCCCCTCTGTAATAAAGACTGGTTCCTGCTGCTCTCTCTACTTGTGCAGGGTGATTGGTCTTGCCTCCGCCCCCTCTGTAATAAAGACTTGTTCTGCTGCTCTCTCTCCTTGTGCATGGTGACTGATCTTGTCTCTGCCCCCTCCTGTAGTTTTTAGGCAGCCTGTAGTGGGGTACCTCTCACAGCTCTGCTTTCTGTACAGTCTATGTACAGCACATTCATGATGGCACTACTACTATTACAATATCTGGGGTTTGCAAATGCATCTGGTGCACAGAGCATGGATGTATATCCTTTCTGGCTATTAAGATACATATTTAAAGGAACATTTTTTTGTCCAGGAGTTCTGCGTTGAAGGATCATTGAGTTACACTCTCAGCTGCACTCATATACCTCAGGAATCTTCAGCACTTCCAGGCAAAATCATCTTTCCTCTGGCCACTCATGTGCAGTAAAACCCCATAGACTTCTATGTCTCCTGATTGGCTCCTGAATCAGGAAATGGCCTGATAGAATTCTATGGGGTTCTACAGCACAGGTGCATGCAAGTGTCAGGCTATGGCCATCTGAGATAAGTATGCATGTGGGGAAGGGGTAAACGGATAATTGTACCTTCTATGAAACAACATATATCTCTTAGCTCTCTTGACGCTCTTGGCACATTTTGGTCAAAATGACAGGCTCTCTTAATGAAAAAAACCCAACTGGTGATAACTTTACTGAGCTCCCCTCCGTTCCACTAATCCTTTGGAGCCAGGAAGTCCTAACTCTGTTTGAGCTCTGTGTTAGAGCTTACACATGGCCAACACCTTCCTCCTCATCAGGTGATAGTGTTAAGACCTGGCTATTGGCCACTCAGGCCCGAGTACTGCATCCTGGGAGAAGTCACATACTCCCTCATAACTCGAAGCAATGGTAATTTCCTGGGGGCACCAAAGGAATGGCAGGGGTGCATTGCAACTTTGAGTATCCCCCTAGAATTGCAAGGAACAGAATTTTAGTGGATCACCATGATAATAGTTGAATGACACTGTTCCATATTTATTCCCCAGGCGGAGATCTTAACAAAAATTTCGGTGGCCGGCCCCGATGATGCAGGAAGAGCGGGACGTGCACTGCTGGAGCGAGGCTGTCATCTGGTCCTGGTGACTTTAGGAGGGGAAGGATGTGTCATTGTCTCAAAAGATGACCCAACTCCGAAGCACATAGCCACGAATACGGTCACTGCGGTGGACACCACGGTACAAATAATTCATATTTACATACCTAAGGTTGCCTGCAGATGCTAGATGGATTTGAGTCCATGGATACCAAGAAACGATTGCTCTAAATAATCATTATACATATGTGCTAGTTCTCAGCACATGAACTGGGTTTATTCTAATGGTGGGGGAGTGCTGCCAATGCTATTGATTCTTCCCCCGGTTAGAATCAGGCATTGGGCAAGGCCTACTAACATATTAATTTTTCCTGCTCCACCTATAAATGGACACATTGGGCAACCATCTAAAGTCTGTAGGCACCTTTAGGTCTAACTGGTGAAGTATTTCTGATATCTTGTACTCAGATTGCCTATTCCTAATCAGCGGTGGAGAGAGGTAAATAGACCTCCTGAGGACACCTTAAAGCAGAACTCGAGAATTTGTTTTTTTTAATCTGCAGTGTACAAAACAGGTTAAGTCTGATGAGGTGTATGGCACTTTAAGGAATGCTGTGGTATCTTTAGTATTTACACTGTCATTCATCCCAGGAAGTCTAGCTTTTGCAATACTTCAGTCTCTGCAAAATTAGATCTGTGTCTTATACACTGAAGCCACACTGTCATTTTCCACTCCTCCTTTCCCATTGCCCATTTAATAGAATGCCTTTCATTATGTAAACCATACACAGAATACAAAATGTTCTGTGAATTGGCAATGGGGGACACACACAAAATACATTGCGGCTTCCACTGTATGAGAGCCGCAGCCCCCATAGCCACAGTGGGCTTGCAGTACAGCTAGAGCTATACTCCCTGGTATAAATACATTGGTAAATATTAAAGATGCTGCGGCATTCCTTAAAATGCCATATACCTCATCAGACTTGTCTTGAGATCTTCTTCAACCAGAGCTTTGTATGTAACAATTAACCAGATTCTAGCTGTTATTTCAGTGCAGTTTAGACAAAGAAAGAAAGAATCTGATTGGCCACCACTGACAGAAATAACCTCAGCTCTCCTCCATTAATTTAGGAGTAATGTTCATTGTGTGTCACCATAGAGATTATTATTATTATTATTACACAGGCTTTATATAGCGCCAACAGTTTGCGCAGCGCTTTACAATATAAGGAAGACATTACAATCACAATACAATTCAAGACAAGATGGTAAGGAGGGCCCTGCCCCTGAGGGCTTACAATCTAAGAGATCGGTTTCTGAGCAGCAGTATGCCAACACACAATAGAGCTCAGTCAAAGGATACCTGTCAGTATAAAAATCCAAGTGGATGGACTATAAGACTAACAGGGTTACTCACAGAAGGGTGAAGAGTTTGGAGAAGGCAGGAGAAGGGAGCAATCTAGACCAAAATAGCCGATTCAGCTCACTTTCCAGCTATGTTGTCCTAGATCAGGGGTGCCCACAATTTTTTTGTGTTGGGATCTACTTTTCAAATGATGATCTACATGAGATCTACCAACGGAAAAAAAACCCTCTCTCGCTCTCCTGGCTGTCTCTCCTCGCTCGTGGGGCCGCCATTCACACCCTGCGTGATCTACCAGCATCAGCTTTGAGAGCTACTGGTAGATCACCATCTACCTAATGGGCACCCCTGTGCTAGATTGTTCACTTCCTCTGCCTTCTCCAAACTCTTCACCCTTCTGTGAATAACCCTGTAAAAGTGTTTTCTATACTCCACTATCCCCAGCACTAGTTTAATGTCCACTCAGCTGTAAAACCTTCAAGCATTGTGTTCTTAAAGGATTTGTACACCCTTACCATGAACTTTTCTTATTTATTCCCTTTTGGTCTGTTAACGAAGAACTCCAGGGAAAATTATCATTAACTCTTGCAGTGGGGCTATCCCATGCACTGCAAGGGTTAAGTGCTCGTTTGTGTCTAGGGAGGTAAATCAATACATTTGCTCACCTGATCCTCTGTGCCGGCTTGCTCTTAGCTGGCCATACACCTATAGATGATCTGCAGATTTTCTGTGGTCAGATGGAAAAAGTGCAACAGATTCCTCCATCTACGCTAAACTGTGTGGACGGAGGAATCTCCACCTGGGCCAAGCTTCAGTATCTTGCTAGTCGACCCCGCTGGCTCTCAAAATACCTGAACAATCTGATTGGATGCCGGCATTGTTCAGGTAGCTTGGCCCAGCGGGAGATTCCTCCATCCACACAGTGAAGTGTAGATGGAGGAATCTGTTGCACCTTTTCCATCTGACCATAGAAAATCTGCAGATAATTGTAAGGTGTATGGCCAGCTTTAGACCGGTCACTGGAGCCTCTCACCACCTCCGGGGCAGCGGTCTAAGGTCCCCTAAATCATCACGTTTCATCGCTGCAGCGCAGGGGGAGACAGGCTGGAAGGAGTGCTGCGACAGCCGCTCGGCTCTGAGGATCGAGTGAGTATAACATTTTCAGCCCTAGACCAAAATGAGCAGTTTACCCTTGCAGTGCAGAGGTAGCCCCACTGCTGCAAGGGTTCATAAGATTTTTCCCTGGAGTTCTGCTTTTAATATGCCCTTGGCAGTGTTTTCTTATATCTGTTTCTGCAGACAGAAACCTGTTGATCCTACCAAAAAAATGTAATGAGCTGATAACTTCCTGTGCTTCCTGCCTGCGCTACATTGCTGTCAGTTACATTGTTTCCAGCTATCTCTGAGAACCCAAAAATACCTCCCCCTGTATTATGGAGATGAGGAGAGGAGAAGGTTTTGTGGTAGTCCTTTCCTAGGTTGACAAGGCACTCAAACACTGTGGGGGTTATTCACTAATGAGCCGAAGGATCCATCCGTAGCTTCGGCTGATCCTTCGGCTAGCTTTGGTTGCGGGAGCCCTTTGATTCAGTCGAACCGAAGGGCTGCTGTACGGGCTATTCACAATAGTCCGTACAGCATCCGAAGGCAGCCGAGCCGAAGGCATTTGCTTGGGCTCGACTGAGCCGAAGTGTCAGCCGAATCGGGGCGAACGGTCAGCTGATGGCCGGCCTTTCACACCGCAAATGACAGCTGGATGATCTCACGGCTGGCTCCGCCCAGTTAGAGCTAGCTGTCACTGCTAGCTCCGACCAATTGTTTTTTTTTTAAATTATTATTATTTTTTTAATCCTTTAATTTTTCTATTTATTTACATTTTAAAATTATTTTTCCAACTGTACACATGAAAACATGGGGAAAGAAGAGGAAGATCAAAATAAGAGACATCATTTGAGGTAAGTGCTAACATACTGTACATGGGGGGGAGGGGAAAAAAATGTAGGCTTTAATGTCACTTTAAGTATTCTCACTGATTTTCTATTCTGCTCGGTACCACGGAGGTACCGAGCAGAATAGCCGAGCCGAATGCCGCTCGGTGGTAATCAGCTATTCATTCACTGCCGTTAGGCCCCTATGAGAATAGGGGCGAATGGCAGCGAGTGAGCTGCCGGAGCTACGGCTCAGCCGATCCAGATGTTGGACCGGCTGAGTCGAAGTCCTTCTGCACTTTGGTCCAGCCGCACATGCAGACCTAAGTGCAGGTGAAGGAAGCCGATGTATGGCTGAAATCAGCCGTACTGAGCTGTAGTGAATAGCCCAACGTCGTTCGGTTCACTTCACTTCAGCTCGATTAGTGCACCCAGTAGCCAGATACTATTTGATCTTTGCTTAGACTTTAGTTCAGATGAAGGGTTAAATCTATTATGCCATGTTAAGTAACACCTCCAAGTATTTATTACTAGTTTTATTGCTTATTAAGACAGCACCATCTTTGTTCTGGCATCACCCAGGGTCAGCATCTACTCCGTGGACTGAGGTGCCGGCTCAGAGATGACACAATCCTGTAAATCCTGGTGTCTGTGTAGTTCTTGGCGTTGTTACAAATGCCTGACACAGATCAGCCATTGCTGCAGCCTCTCACCTTGTGACTTGTTACAATGTTGTAGTCTGATCACTGGGGGAGGGGAGACTGAAGAAATGCTTCCTCCTGCCTGCAGCAGACTGATGGCATCATCTCAGCCTAGGCCAAGTCACTGGACTGAAGCTCAAGGACATTTTTGTTCTGTTCTGTTGCTGTATATTGTGACTTGTCAGCAATGTATTAATAGAGACTTGTAAAGTTGCTGAGGGATCCACTTTAAGCACAAAGAGTAGTTCAGGTCATGCAGCAGAATCAGCGCCATTTGCGTGCTGTACATGCCCCCTGCTGCAGCCAGTGATTGTACACTCCGTGATTTAAAAAATCCACTGAAAGCATGTGAAGTTCCTCTCCAACCTGTAATTATCAGCAACGCTCCGTCCCGCGCTCCATAAAGACCAGCTAAAAATACAGCTCGCTGACAGAATCGCTCCATTTACTGGAATTAGCAACAAAGCGGGGGTCAGCCGCAGGCAGGCCCGCCTAATACGCTTTCAGGGCAGATACTTCGGCTTTGTGTTTCATTTATTTCGCTCTCTGCTGATGTACATGACTAATACAAAGCTCATTAAAGCGGCTCCAATAAAGGGTTTGCGCGGAGATTCCTTTATTTTTAGAAAAGTGAGGAGAGAGAAAGCAATCCCGAAGCCCTTACATGGGAATCAGAACAAAATAGACAGTCAGGAGTGCAAATGTTATAAAGTGACACTAAACTCCGGAGTTTAATCCTAGAAATGTATTCAGGTACCTTCATTATTACCAACAATGTATCTTATTTGTGTATCACTCGGCTGTAGATCCTCCAATCATCTCTGAATTGGTGCTGACACTGTCCTTCCTTCTGGAGGGGGGCTACTTTCGTTTCCCATGGTGCCTGTGTGTATTGTAGAGTAGTCACCACTCCAAGCTTGCTCCCGTGATGGACTAGAATCTCATGTTTAGTTTACTAATTTAGTCCATCACAGGAGCGAGCTTGGAGCGGTGACTACTTTACAACACACACAGGGACCATGGGGAACAAAAGTAGCCACCCTCCAGAAGGAAGGACAGTGTCAGCACCAATTCAGAGATGATATACACATCACAAATGCACTGAAATCTCAACCAGCATTCAGCACTGACCGCTGGACTACACCAG